GTTGTCAGAAAACCACTACGCAGAAGGAACTTATATAGGAAGCAAAAAACACTTTTCTACATATGGTAGGAAAAAAAGTGAGGGAAACCTTTGAAATATGTACTCCAAGACTCCGATGAATACCCGAGCATTGCATGCATATAAAAATTCCAAGGTTCACACTTGCCCATCGTGGAGCCCTGTGAATCATATATCAAAAAAGTACATCAAGTATACAATATTAAAGTACATGTTGAACTCATATCAATTAAGAAAAGTTATATCAAAGCACACATTCTCTTAGAAATCCATTTCCAAAACCTCGTTTTAGTGGCAGTCATTTGCCAACATTGAGCATGATTAAATTACAACAATTTAAAATGCTTGTTTTAATTTCACGCTAAACCTGAAACATATCTACTAGTTTGCCACCGCATAAAATTTTAGACAATGGAAAAGTTCTGTCTTAAAATGTCTTTACCCTATTGTATCTTATTCATCAGAAAGTAATATATAGTTGCATATATTTCTCCTGCTCTATATGATTACCATGTCCAGACTTTTCACCAACCATTATTGTGCACTGCCTAAGATGACTCAAATCGAAACCAGTCATCCAATGATTGCCTTAGAACTACAAACTCTGAACCAAAGTTCTAACCATCTTCATAACTTAGCAGCCTAGGGAAGAGAAACATATACAGTATAGTTATTCACCCAACTGAAACATTATAGAGCATCAGGGTCAGATATTTCGTTGCTGGTTTAAATTTCAATTAAATATCAAATAGAAAATTATTTAACAGTCCTGAAAGTCACAAAACTAACATTCAAAAAACGTCTAAGAGCATTGAACATTCAAAGGGATGCAGTTTGACCAAGATACTGCTAAAAAGTCGAAGTTCACATTCAGTGGTTAAATATATATTAACATGATATGAAACTAAGGCGTTGATTACGCATAAAAACGAGACAATAGCCATTTCTTTTTTTGTGTAATCAAAGGACAACAAAAAGATTCTCTGAAGAGCTGCAGAAACAGAGAAGATATTCAGAGAGGAACGAGAATAATTAATGTAGGGCGAAAATATTGCATGCTCCAAGTAGAAATGGCTGATCAGAAGCTTACGAACAGGAACTACATCCGTAACAATTTAGAATTACAGAAAGAACGTTTCATATTTAAAAATTAATAATAATAATCGTTTAAATGTATACTTGCTCCGGCAGTCAGCACATTCCCTGTTTTCTGGAAGCTTGAGAAGGCCTTCTAGAATCTGTATAAACAAACATTTAACGCGCACAAAAGTGATCTTAAGTTAAACAAAGTAGTACAATAATCCTCTACGCGGCTAAAACCAAGAAGTCGAGATGAAAATAAAATTCGCATGAAACTAATAGATCAGCAACTGAAATTCATCTCCCGACGGTGTAGGATTTCGATGCGAAATAAACAAACATTTAACGCGACGAACAGTTTCGTTAATACCGCGTAATTCAATCACAGTTTTTAGCTAGTCTGATTGTGCTAGCAGTTCGAATCAGTTTTGATGAAATGAAAAAAAATCCAACAGTTAATCATAGCATTTCTAAACACAAACATTACATTGCTCCAAACCTACAATGATATTTCTTAGCGGCTAGGACGCATAACAGCTACGTTTCTCCTTCTCGAACAACTCGATGGAGAAGAAACGATGTTCGATCATTTTCAAACAAACGCAACAGAAATAGACAGATAAAGATGGAAAAGAAACCTTAGTATGTTTGGCTTCGAGCTCCTTAGAGACGGAGGCCTTCTCGTTCATGTTTGGACTCGGATTTGACGGTCCGCTACGATACGACGGTCGATTCACTGCAGTTTCTGAGGAAGTCGCCTTCGCCTCTGGTGTCTCCGAACAGAGAATTATCGGGAACGGCAATGAAGAGGCAAGAAAAAGAGTTCTGTAATGATTGGCTCCACAGATTGTGAGGGAAACGGTTGGAAATCCTCAAATAATGCGAAAGGAAAATGGCAGCGTTCATATTCGAGGCTTCGCCACCTGTTCTTAATCTTAACCTTCCTATTAATGTAGCTGGCGGGAAACTAAAAGTGAGGATCGGTTTCCCCTTTTAACTCATAAAATTATATTTATATGAAACTGCCAGGTAAGGCCTCAGCCTGCCGCTCATCCATTCACTCCGCGTGTTCTCCAACTTCAATTGCTCTGTAGGCGGGGCCATCATATTCAGTTCCACCATAATCCTTCTCTTTTATTATAATTTTTTTCTTTTAATATTCCTTTTATGTTTTTTATTTATTTTATTTTATTAAATTACACATTTATTATTTTTCTAAATTATATTTTTTAAAAAAACTTAATGAATATAATAAACATAAAATTTTAAATTTTATTCCACAAATTAGATACCATTCCAACTTTCCATATAAAATAGTTAGTTATCACGTAGCTTTACCTCCTTCAAGTTATTCAACAATCTGTTGTGTATTGCTCTAAATCCACAGCTAGCAGGTATTGTCCTTTTTAGAGTTTCCCTCCCTCTCAAGACTTTAAAACGCGTCTGCTAGGGAAGGTTTCCACACCCTTTAAAAGGGTGATTTGTTCTCGTCCCCCAACCAATGTAGCAGATATTGTCTTCTTTAGAGTTTCCCTCCCTCTCAAGACTCTAAAATGCATCTGCTAGGGAAGTTTTCCACACCCTTATGAATGGTGATTTGTTCTCCTCCCCAACCAATGTGAGACATCACAATCCACCTTCTTTAGGCGCCAGCGTCCTCGCTGCCACTCGTTCTTTTCTCCAATCGATGTGGGACCACCACCAAATCCACCTCCCTTTGGGGCCAGCGTTCTCATTGACACACAGCCTCTTGTCTATCCCCTTCAGGGAATAGCGAGAAGGCTGACGCATTGTCTAATGTCTGGCTCTGATGCTATTTGTAACGTCTTAAATCCACGGCTAGCAGATATTATCCTGTTTGGGCTTTCCCTTTCGAGCTTCTTTAAAATGCGTTTGCTAGGGGAAGATTTCCACACCCTTATAAATGGTGATTTGTTCTCTTCTCCCACCAACATGCAATATCATGTCGTACCATGTTTAGTAACGGGAGACTTCAAGTGGGAGGAAATCGATGTGTTTGAGCACAGAATGATATGCGTGAAAGGAATGGGGAAAGCACACATGGTGCATTTCAGTAATATGATGACGGGCATTACAAGGCATACCAAAGAACCTAATTAACGGAGTTCTGATAACGTAAAGAGGGCGGCATAATCATCCCCTTCCCATTTGGCGTACACTGTGGCAGGTATGGAATCAAGGGAGGTTTCAGTGATGATCATGAATTAAAGTATTCTATTCCACATGTGCTACCCATGGAATTTGGCCCCTTTTCAAGATCACCTTGCACATTAGTTAATTTCTGACCCTCACATGAACCCGTATTTAGATCCTTACTCGATGTTTTTACATCATAATAGAGGATGCAACGAATTTTCAATATGATAAAATTATTTGTCGATGAATTTCTTGACACTCTGTTCTAATAAAGGTGCCAAATCATATGAATGATGCTCGTTTGAGAAAGAAAAAAAAATTGTAACCACCTAAACTCACAACTGGTAGATATTGTCTGATGAATGATGCTTGTTTGAGAAAGAAAAAAAATATTGTAACCGCCTAAACCCACAACCCGTAGATATTGTCTATTTTGAGATCTCAAAATCCTTGTCCACTTTGAGCATAAGCTCTCATGCTTTGCTTTGACCTTCCCCAAAAGGCTGTTCACTTTGAGCATAAGTTCTCATGGTTTTGCTTTGACCAGGCTCGACCTCCCCTTAATCGAGACTTCTTTTTCTTTTGGAGTCCTTTGTTCGACATTTGAGGATTTACCAATCTATTGGCACAACTAAGTTTAGGGCATGAGCTCTGATACCATGTTAGACGAACACGACTTTCCACAATGGTATGATATTGTTTACTTTGAGTATACGCTCTCATGGCAAACTTCATGGCTTTGCTTTGGCCTTCCCGAAAAGCCCTCATACCAATAGAGTTAATATTTTTTTGTTATAAACTTACGATCATTCCCTAAATTAGTCTACGTGGGACTTTCATCATCCAACAAAGACAAAGACTTCTTCAGAGCCATTGGGCGGATGAAATTTGTTGATCACTGTAGCAGGAATCTGATACACACGCTCTTCTTGCTAGCATTGAGTTCCACCCCAGGTGCCTCCGCCTCAATATCCATCCTGAATTCGCTGGACTCCACCGCCAGCTCAATGGTGGAAGCTAAATAATGATGCTGTTTGGATCAAATAACTTGGCCGTGGTGGACTTCGTCGGCTTCTTCGCAACTGGGATAGAGATATTCTTTGGGCTGGACAGAACGATATTCATCAAACCTGGCCCATTGTTTTGGGAAGGCGGTGGAATTTTGGAAAGGTTAACATTTTGTATCAAAAATATATTTCAATTTTAAAAATTTTATTAATATCCTCCGACTTAAACAAAAATTAAAACGCATTTACCTATTATATTTAAAAAATATGCACATAAAATTTAAAAAAAAAAAATTCACAAAAAGTTCATGAACACGGTTGAAACGTAACGTTGATGGTCTATACACGGAGGAATAAAAATTGCTTATCTACCTACTATAAATCATTTCTCTATTATTTTTCTATCTCTTATTGAATACTCTCTTAATATCCACTTATTATTTTATCTCTAAATTATAAAAAAAATTATTATTATTTTTTAAAGGGTTTAGGCTATTAATATTATTTTTTAAAACGTGTATATTGATGAAAAAAATTATTTTTTAAGGTTAAAAAAATTTAAAGGTATTAATATTGAAAGATCAGGTTATTTTTTAACATTAGAAAAAAAAAAGAAGCTAATATTTAGAAATTTTAAAATACTTTTGAAATAAAATTTATTTTAAATTTAAAGATATTCATTTTTTAAATTAATTTAGAATATATTTAAATGCGTAGAAACAATTAATTATTACCCAATTTCCTCGCGAAAAAGAATTTTGTAAAAAGGAAAATAGAATCTGCTAATCTCTTCCTCCGGTCTTCCTCGCTTCCTTCTCCGCATCACTCGCGCTCGAATTTCATTGCACCTTTTTCCATCTCTCCTTCTTCTTCTCCTATATCGCCAGAGCTTGAGAAAAAATCTACAATCTCAGGTTTCAGTTTTTATCGGAATGTCTTCGTCCGGCGGTAACTCTGGCGACGGAGCTGGCGGTGGCGCCGCCTCGCATGGCCCTCAGCTCTTCTTCTGCTATACGTGCAATCGTACGGTAACCATTACTCCCTCATCATCCTCCGATCTTTTGTGCCCCAACTGCAACGATAGCTTCGTTGAAGAAATGGATAGTCCAAACCCTAACCCTAGCCCTGTTCCCAATCCTTTCCTCTCCTTCACATCCGAGGCATTTCCGCCGTTCAGCTCCGGTGGCGGTGGAAATGGAGGTTTCCCGATTATATTCTCCACGACATCATCATCCGGTGGCATTGGCGGTGGCGGTTCTATGATGAATGATCTATCGGCGCTATTGGGAGGCGGTTCTCATCGGTCGTCGTCCTTGCAAGACCCTGACGGTTTTAGTCCCTTGCTCTTCCTCCAGAACTATCTTCAAAGCGCTAATGTTCAATTGGTAATCCAGAACGCATCGGGAGAGGCGTTTCATCCATCTTCCAATTTCAATCTTGGAGATTACTTCTTCGGCCCTGGCCTCGAGCAGTTGATTCAACAACTTGCTGAAAACGATCCGAACCGTTATGGAACCCCTCCCGCTTCAAAGTCGTCGATTGAGGCACTTCCAAATATCAAAATTACGGAGGAATTGTTGGCCTCAGATTCTTCCCAGTGCGCTGTGTGTAAGGATACGTTTGAGCTCAACGAGGAGGCGAAACAGATGCCTTGCAAACACATATATCATGCAGATTGTATCATTCCATGGCTGGAATTGCATAATTCTTGTCCGGTATGTCGATATGAATTGCCCACAGATGATCCTGATTACGAGCAAAGGAATCGTGGGACTTCAGCTCCTAATCGAAGTCAAAGCGAAAGTCAACCCTTTGGTGATTCTTCTATCCGTGGGGAAAATGTTGGTGGAAGCGATCCTAATTCCGACGAGAATTCACCGAGTCAACATGAGCGGAGGGTTAGGAGGATAGCATTTCCTTGGCCATTCAGAGGTTTTGGTTCGGCCGCCGAGACTAGTAACAGCGGAGGTGGCAACAATAGTGGAAATAGCGACGAACCTAGCTCCAGAAATAGGGGAAATCAGAGCTCGTCAGAACCCATGCAGGAAGATCTTGATTGATGATTACTGGTATTACAACTCAATTTATTTTCTTCCCTTTTGAAATGTTATCAATCTAGTTTGTACAAACGTTGATATAATTCTTGTTGATTTCAATTTTAGTTCATTTGAACAATTTTGTGGTCCACTCTCTGAACATTTACTTGGGATGGATTAACCCAACATGTGCAATCCCGTTACTCCTGCCTGCTCTTGCCAAGTTATCTGAACTTGATACTGATTATTCTTTAATGCCCCTTAATTAAAATACATCCACGGAGTGTTTATTAGTCCTCCGTTTGATTTCTATCGGCCTTTAAGATAAGACATGTTTGGTTAAGCATCTTAAACATTTATCTTCAATATCCATTATTGTCAGTAAGGACCTTTACTATGTCTACATATTGCTGAATGCTCAATTTGTTGGGTCTGTGAATCTATTTTCTGGCCTAGCAGACATTTAGTAATATGAGCTCACTAAATATTTCAAATTTTAGAGCACTCTTCTCTCCATTTCCCTCCCTCGAATTCTTCCTTTGTTCTTGTTGGTTTTAAGGAGCCTTTCTTCTCCCTAATCGCTGGTTGTGAAACATGAGTTAACTTAGTCAAATTATTAGTGAACAAGGAAAAAGACACTTTCTCTTTGTCCTTCGACATCTATGTAGAGCTTAAAGATCTTAACCGTTGCCTGATTTTGTGTCTTTAGGTATTTGAATGGTACTACGAAATGAGAGTCATCCACAAATCACCATGTCCATGCCTTGGCAATATTTATGTGTGATAAGATTTGAAGAATGAAATCGGATACAATAAGAGCAGGACTTTGAATGAATTTGGAGTTGTATTAGATATGGACCTCTGGGTATTTGTATCTCAATCCTTTATTGACTATTTTGCAATAAACTTTTCATTAATTTTTCCATGGAGAGAGCTAACATAATTTTTTTCTTTTTTTCTTGTAATTTATCTTCTGAGCTTGGTTAAATTTCCCTCATTGTCTTATGCGTTTGACAAATAATTTATATTGCTTTATGAATCTTGAACTCATTTTTCTCCAGCATGCACGTTTCCCTACCTGAAAACATCAAAAAAGTTTTATGCTTATGTTGCCTGTATGTGAAGTAACTATGGAAAATAGCAATCGACCCTTTATCTTTTAATCTTGTTTAGGTAGGATGGAGTTCAGATACTATATAAATAGGCTCAAAAGTACCTCCTGGGTCGCAGCTGAATATTTGTTTTAAAACTTTTTTAGGAATTGACAATTTTAGTGTAGCCTGTTATATTTACACACATTCATAAGGTGAGAAACTTCACCCTGTTTAATGCCATGCTCAGATTCTTGTTATGATTTGTAGCCTAGCTGTTATCAGGCAGTCTTATCTGTGGTGTGTTGCTAATAATGCTTCTCATCTTCGTTCTCATAAAAAAAAAAAAAAAGAATAAAAACAAGACTTTTCTATCAGTGTCCTGAAATTTGGTGAGAGCATGTGCTTAATCTTTGAACTGTTTGTCAGTCAATGAACGTGTTCAATTGATTTTCTGAACAGAACTGTACCCCCACCCCCAGCTTCTCTATTCCTTGGTTTGATTTCGATATTGCTGGCATGAGGAACCTCAATGGTTCGGAAGGCCGTTGGTTTCAGTCGAAGTTGATAATCTCCGTGAGAAATTTCTGCATATGCACTTTTACACAAGTCCTAACTACCAAATATTAGAAGGTTAAATGGTAGTTTTTCCTTTTGGTTTAGACGTTTTTTTGACTTATTTCGATTTGGAGTTTCTAGATTTTATGGAAAATTTAAATTGTTTGTCTGATGCAGTGATTTCATAAATTCTGTACAACTAAATGTCTTCCTTTCATTCTTTGGCAGGTGTTGCAAGCGATTTGAATCTGGAACCATTACTGAATATAGAAAACATCCTTGTATGTTAATTATTCGAGTTTTTCCATTTTTGAAATTTGACTATAATAATCCATAGGTAAAGGTCCTTCGATCTTCTATTTCCTTCTATTTCCATTTCAGAGCTCAGAATTCTTTGTAGATTAAGGAAGTTATGTGCATTATTTTGTTTGCGAAGGTCTGTAATACTTTGGCTTCTCCGGGAACCATTTCATGTATTGAAATGTTGTCTGCCTCACATGTGGCTTTTCTGCACTTGCCTTTGTTGGTTTAGTTTACATTGAAAAGCGATTTCATACTGATCATTTCTGCACTTGCCTTTGTTGGTTTAGTTTACATTGAAAAGCGATTTCATACTGTTCATTTGTTTATCAATCAACTCATCTCTCCCTCCCCCTCAGGACATCCTCGTCGCTCATCGAGCTGAGGAATCTGATGTTTCAGGTTTGGGGCTGGCTGGATGGTAAAATAACGGTAAGAACAAGTGTATTGATTCACAAAACTACTATTATCTGTATAGAGTTGCCTACATTCTAGGTTTTGGTAATGGCCATTGCATAACTTCATCTTTGCTAGATTTTCCCATTTTTCCTAATTCAGAGGATGGAGATTTATGCCCTAAAGTTCACGTTATGGCTGCTCAAAATTTTTTTTCTTTTGAAAATTTTAAAAATCATTCGGTTTTTATAGCGTTGTTGAAGTGCAGGAAGACACAAGTTCACAGAATCCACGGATTTTCAAATTTTATATACGAGGGATATATCTGTTATATTAAGCATGATTTTGTGGTTTTAACAAGGTTGAAATATTACTAAGCTCGTCATAATTAGTCATGTACTCTTGTTCTATAGATACGTTAGTGGTGTTAGAAATCACCGATCTTTATAATGGTATGCCACAATGGTATGATATTGTCCAATTTGAGCATAAGCTCTCATAGCGTTGCTTTGGGCTTCCCAAAAGGCCTCATACCTGGAGATAGTAGTATTTCTTGATTATAAACCCGTCGTTTCCTAAAATTAGCTGATGGGACTTTCATCATCCAACATTGTGGGTTACATATTTTCATTTAGATTCATAAAAGTTCATCAATGGGACTTTCATCATCCAACAAGTGGGTTATATATTTTCATTTAGATTCATAAAAGTTCATCAATTTTTTCATCATTCAACTAACGAGTGGGTTATATACTTTCATTTAGATTCATAAAAGTTCATCAATTTAAGCTCAGTTCAAACTCTAGATCGAAGTTATGGCCTAAGATTATTAACTCTCGATGGTTAATCTTTAAAAACACTTTTAATTTGGCGATGGAGAGAGCAATAAATGGAAGCGACATCTCGATAAACACTTATACCCGTGCTTAAGGTTTTTATTTATTGTCATGAAGTCTCCATGAAAATCATGAAAATATGTTTGGATTGACTTTTAAGCGTTTAAAAACTACTTTTAATGAAGAGCTTAGTAATATTTAAGTCAATGAGAAATCCATCAAACATTGACGCATTCAGTACTACCTCTCAAAGTTGTAAGCAAAATTCCGGTTTACTTTGTGTCCCTAGAAGAATAACACTATTTCAAAAAACTCTCGCTCAGTGTTCTACCTCACTTGTTGTGTAGCCGTTCCAAAGAGGGGAAGGGGCGGAAAGAGCAATCACCACCTGTTATTGGGTGGTTTGACTCTATAAATACGAACTATCCAATTAGATGTGGTGAACGCCTCTTCCAAGTGCTCAAGTTTGATATCTTTGTTTCCAATTTCAACTCCTCTGGCACGATCATACCTGCCATCATAGACAAACCATGAAGGCCATTAACGCACAACACAAACTCAAAGTACACATCTCCACCAGTCCAAGCTTATTATAGTAAACGCCGAGACATAAACCTCCGACCTCAAGGGAAATAGTACTAAGAGCTACGCTCATATTAGCCAATTTCTTTAGACTTAATGGTGATAGATTCTGAACTTACCCAGGAGGCTTGCCATATTCCGTTACTAGCTCTCCGAACCGATAATATGAAAGCTTGTACCTGGTACCACGGAACAGAATATCCACATTACCTCATATCAGGAGATTAAAAAAAGGTAACAATGTACACATACACATGAATCATCTTCCAATACCAAGAAACTTACATTAGACAATTCAACATCTTCGGGGCTGCCCCTTTGTCGACTCGATATTCTCCATTTACCAGATAATCGGGCTCTTTAATTACAGGGAAAACGCCACCTCCAATTCTCACCATCCACAAAAATCTGGTATGATATACAATCCCCATCAAATAAGACATCTCTTTTCCTACTCAAAAAACAAAACCATTCACTAGAAAGGGGAAAAAAGGTGAAATGCCCTTACTTGTTAATATCATCTGATGAATAGCCGGAAACACCACCAAAGACAACTAGCACATAATCGACATCGAGTGATCTCATTATTTCATATGCATCATCTTCATAAGAAGACATTGCACGTCCAACAGTAGCAATGTGTGTGTTATTCCAGGTATTGTTGTCAACGATGACAGTTCTGTTTCCCATGGCCGTGATCTGGTAACCATAATCCCACCATGACATCACCTTAGCGTCTTGAGGGGTATTCTGTCTGAGCCAAAAGTATGCCTCACGGTAGTCATCGAAGATAACCCTGTTCCCATGTGCACCCCTTGCAGCCAAGACAATTGATGGAGATGAATAAGCTTCTGAGGTGACCCATGTACAATGGGTCACATACCTTGAAAGCAAGTAAAAAGCACCAACGAGTAATGCAATAGCACCGTTCTTTTGGAAAGGCGGGGATTGATCAAGAGATCCCTGTTGAAAGCATAGGTAATTAGTCAGAGTATTCAATGTAAGCATGGCAATTGAACAATTCAATGCCAATTCAGATTGAATACGATTAAAAACCGTATAAGCCTACCGACAAGGAAGAAAAACAAAGCTGGACATACCTTAGAGGAACCCTTCACATTGCTGGCTCCTTTACCAGAACTAATCTGAGAAGCCTTTGGTTTAGCCCTCACTAATTGGGTCAGGTTCTTGATTGTAGCAGAGACAGCTATGGAACTGATAAGACATACTGCAGGTGTAGCAACAAGAATTAACCTTACCATAACTCCAGCAAAGTACATGCTAGTGAGACCGTACATGACGATGAAAATTGTTGCATCGGACAAGCGTTTGAAGCAAAAATAGAGACCAGCTGGGAAAAGGAAAAGCAAAATGTGGAAGTCAAACATGAAAGATGACCAAGCTGTGGGTTGATGCTCGGAGACAGAGGCTATAATAGGTATGTGATCTTTCGCATACGTCGGATCCAAAAGAGAATAAAACCGGCCAGCCCACGGGGATATATACCCGGACGCAGTGCCAACTCCCAAAGCAACACTACCCACAGCAACTGCGCTAGTAACGGTGATCTTCAGGAAGGATTGAAACAGTTTGGTATCACTGAGCATGTACTTCACCCAGTCCAAGAAGTAAAATACCTGTAAGAGAGGCTAATTAGTTCAATGAATGAAATGACATGCATTCTGAGAAATCATAAACACTTCTTCTCTTCACTGCCTAGTTCCGACCGAGGTAACCATTATTTCACACGGGTAAGAAAAAGAACAGTGTACAAGATAAGATTAAATACAAAGTTAGCTAAACCAATCCTTGTATCATAACACCACCAACACCACCAACAACAAGAACAACGATGAACTAAATAAATGCCCGCCTCAACGCTAGCTTTAGACAGCTCAAGGATTTTTCCCGTGTAGAGCTTTGCACCTAGGTGCATTATCATCGAGTGCTCGAGACCCCGACCAATGGGATCACTCCTTGAGCAACAACATAAATACTCAACATTGAAACGTTCCTTTGGCTACTATTAACAAAGTCAACAAAGAGATAATAAATAATTAGAACCTGAATCAAGAAGAAGACGCCCATTGCAGCCATATGCTCCCCAGACTGAACATGCTGAAAACCAACGAATCGAATTTGCATGGCAAGCAACATTCCCAAGATATACATACAATTATACGCCACATATAAACGCATTGAGTATCTTCCCGTTATCAGAAGAACAAGCACATAGAGTGGAATAAGGTTAATTATAAATACATAGCCACCCCAGGCCGAAACCATGTAAAAGTACCCAAAAGCGGAGGATAGAGCCCAAGCAAGGGATCCAGTATTCACCGCCTTTACGAATAGATAGAATGTCAACAACAACGCAAAAATGGCGACACCTTCATTATCGTACGATCCCGCAACAGATCTCGAAATGTAACCTGGACAAATAGCTATCAAAGCGGCTGCGACAAGCCCAGCCCCCGAGTCCCAGATTTCTTTACCGAAAAAGTACGCAACCAATGTGGTATTTGATGCGAAAAATGGAGCTGTCAATACACAAACCTCACGAATATGCACAGCGAACTTCAGAAACCGCAGCCCCCAATAGATAATAGCGGCCGTGACCATAAGTCCAGGATAGAGCGTCCCGCCAATGATTCGACCAAGAGGATACCAACTCTCAGAATCAAACCAATTCCAGAATTCGTAAAAGCCCTTCTCCGTGAGGAAGAGCGTAGTTCGGTAATTGAAGTAGGGATCAAACTCATGGATCATGGATTCATACCGGAGAACACTGAAGAGCCTAGTAATGAAGGCCAAAACATAGACGAGGAAAAGGATTGAAACTCGGATCAGAAGCTCCTGTTGCTTGGTCTTGAGCTTAAGTGATTTGAGAGACAAACTGTTAAACAGATCAGATTTAGCATTCGACATCATGGTTCCAGAATTGCTCGGATTATTCGATCCAGATTTAGCAGAACCATCGACAGGCTCGATCTTCCCAACCATGATTGGAGATATTAAAGAAAAATGTGATAATGATAAGGAAATTGAAACACGGGTCAACGCTACGAATTTCCCATGGAAAAGCAAATGAGAAATGGAAAAGTTTTTCGAGTGGAGAAATGGAGCAAAACCCTAAAACAACAGAATGGGCGGAGAAAAGGCAGAGCTGAATCCAGAGACGATGATACTAAAGGGGGAAAGAGGGGAGAAAGGATTGCATCAAAATGAATTATACTGAATTTGGTTTGCCACCAGATCGACGACGAGTTGCAGATACTCGTGTTTTGAATTTTCGGAATGGGCTCAATTGGGCTTTAACAATGTTTGGGCTTAGTTTTTTTTTTTTTTTTTTTTTTTTTTTTTTTTTTTTTTTTTTTTTTTTTTTTTTTTTTTTTT